CGCACGCTTAGTAGTTCCGATTGTAAACTTTGGCACGATTTCGGGATTATTTCGATACCACGAGATTGCCATTAAATATATCTTATTACAATCGTCAACTGCCTTCTGGTTTTTGGCCTACGGAGGGACCCAACCTAATAACTGGCACGTAATTTTCCTGTAGTGGTGATCATAGTCAATCGCGACTCGACGCCATACTACATTTTGTGAGCCGAAACTGCGAACACGTTTCAACCTCTGGAAAACTTCCTAAAGAAGATCACTACGGTGAATCGACTATCTATCCACTTTTATTGCACATTTTCGTACTGATATTTTTCAATATATAATATCCGGGCAACAACTTGATATGGCAGATAACGATAAGAGTGACATTAATATAATAGACTCAGATGTACAGACCATCAATTTTCGACCTGTCTCCTTTATTCCTCATGATCCAGAAGTTTGGTTCGCGGCACTGGAATCTCAGTTCGAGATTCGCCGCATAACGAATCATCGACAGAAGTATGCTTACGCTCTGGAAGCGCTACCTGGGGATCACATAGCTGCTGTTCGTGAGGTTGTCCTCAACTTGAATATACCTAACGTTTACGATCGTATCAAGGAGGCGATTCTTAGACATTTCCTCCCGTCGAGGGAGGAGCGATTGAGGACTTACTGATTGAGTGCAAGTTTAAACAATCAGGTCTGAATCATACTTCGGTCATAAACATTCATCCATTTGTCAACACTGACAAATCAGTCAGATATTTTACGAATAAATGACAGCTTTAACCTTTCAACAAATGATAGATATTCATGTACAATTGGGAATCAGCGGAAATGATTCTTTTGACTAAACTAAATTCATCTGGCTACAACCTCACGTAAAATGGAATATTAAGTTGAGATAACAAAGTCATTTCTAAATACTACCGGGATTCGTTTATCATACAAATTCTTTAAAACTATTCATATTATGGAAGGAGTAGAATTAATTATTTGGAAAAAAATATGAATATAGCTACGTCATATATTACGTTAGCATTAGCCATACATCTCGAAAAAACCAGAATTATGAGTCCCAAAGAAACTGGTACAACCTCTTTTTGTACCATGGTTTTAATCTTGTGATTTTCTTCTATCTTTTTTTCTATACACCTTCGAATCCCACACACGAGATCGCCGATGCGCACCGCTGAGGAGTCCCATAATAGGACGTAACGGCCATCCAGTGCTTCCAGGTTCTCAATGGTGGTCTAGCTTAGATTGACTCGTGAGTTCAACTGAGAAAAATCTTTTGATTTATTGACCGCGAGATTGACCAAGGTAAGAGAAGGGGTTGAATATATTTTCTTTGTACACATACTTCCAGTATTTTGATCCTAATAGCTTTATTTGATACCATAGGTTTAGTACAATATGGAATTCCCAACAAACGAGATTTCAGCAGGTCCCTCTCACAAAAACAAAGCAATCGATAACTTCATAAATACACACATGAAATAAGTAAATAAACTGTAATGTTCTTTTTAAATATAAGAATCTATACAACTTCTGATTGGCAGTGTTCAAGAACACAAGTTTTTAACAAGATCAGATCTTACAACCAGTTCATTGCACAGCATATTTACTAGATAAGGTATTGTAGAGCTTCTATAATTTTGCTTGCGTCCATGGATTTTAGTGTATCAGTGTACTTTGAGTCGGATCGATTTTTGTAAAAGGTTACTAACCCAATAAATTATTGAGAAATATTGACTTGTACTGGTGCTATGACCAGTTTGAACTAAATGGGATGGTACTGAGGTGTTTACTGTCTTGACTACACCTTTGCTTAGCCACGCTGGGTGTTCATCAGATCTAAATAAGATAGAGAATGATCTGACCAGATCGTTAAAGAAACTCAAGACCGACAATCAATTTCATCAGATTTATACTAGCTGTCATTTTCCTAGCTAAACTAGGAAATAACTGACTTTGAAAGTTTATTCAAAAATTCGCACTTACTGTCAATATATGGGTGACACGTACATCCTATGTAATGATATTACATCACTACTGAAGGTTCTTAGGCAATTCAATAAAGCATACCCAGCCAATAAGTTTACGTTTAAAGAAAGTGAAGGTGGACTAGCCTTCTTGAACGTTCTATTAACAAAAAAGCTGAGGGGTCAATAGGGAAGTTAAACAGAAAATATACCAGGATAGGGCAGTATACACATTTCCTAATCTTCGTACCTCCACAGTACAAAAGAAACCTTATAAAAACTCTTAGTTATCGAATATACACTATATGTCCAAGTGATATAGTTGAAGAAGGGCTAAACGCTGCGTAATACTATTGGGGAAAAGAGATACCATGAGGAGTCTATAAACAAATATATAAACCCAAAGGTTAGAATAGACAAAATACAAACAGAAAACAAAAAATCCATGTTTATTAGCTTACAATTTAGAGGTGGTGCAACCGAAGAAATACTATATACATAGTATTTAATTTCTATTCAATTTTCAATAATGATCGATAATAATTTGTTTTAAAAATATCTGATCAACCGATCAACAGTCAATACTATGGCGTATAAAAAGCCTCAATAATTTTCAATCATTAGGTTTATTATTATTAGCTTTATTCAACATTATATTTTTGGTACAATATAGAATTATCAGCACAAAGTATTTCAGCGAGCTTTCGTTTCTTATTGTTTGATCGACATTGACGATAAATATCGAGTGGTCGCCAGTTGGATATTAGCATTTCAGAAGTCGACATCTGAATAATATTCATTCTTTTCAATGTACATTGGCAGTCATCACGATGTCCCTGATTGTAGATTTTTGTAACTTCTGCAGCGAAAGGTCGTAAACTTTTCATAAACACACCTGAGTAGGTTATGTCATTAATTGACATATTACTATTATAGGGGTTGTGGAGATCCCGCTCGCGGGATCGTGGATGCGCACTGCTGAGGAGTCCCACAATAGGACGAAACGGCCGTCCAGTGCTTCCAGGTTTTCAATTGTGATGGTCTAACATTAATCGGTTCATGATCTCAATCAAAAATTGACATATTGTTGAAATATCTAGATGGCAGGAATAGGTAGCCCAGATATTCAAGCAGGCCGTCCGGGTGTCCTATCCACTTAATTTAAATATAAGATTAGTTGATTGAATGTATTTTGTTTGTTCTTGTTATTGAAAAGTTATTAGTATTACAGTACAATATTAAGTTTTGGTTAATAATCAAAGTGGTGTTGGTGGGTGTACGTGTGTCTGTGGAGTGGGAAAGGGAGTAAAACTCTACTTTAATTTTATTTCAATGAAAAGAGGAGAAGAGAAAACTAGAAGGAGAGAAGAGTGAGAGAAATGATGATAGTGAATAAGCTGTCGTTAATTTAAATAGAACATTTTCAGTTTTTGTAAAAAGTCGATTAGTGGTTATCTGAACTCAGTAGCTAAGTGGATAATGTATTGGGCGTTTGAACATAGACATGAACACTGGAGTGCAGTTAAATCTGAATGACAAGCACTCAGATAGAATGATATGCGCATCATGGATTCCACTGCTTGCCACAATTCATCTATTCTGATAAGTTTATTGTAGATGCTTTTGAATGTATGTAAGCTTTCTTTGTTTCTCATTTTGTAAATATTGAATTTATATACTAGAGACAATTCTAAGTGATTAAAGCGTAATCGTTTAGTGGCTAAATGACTGAACTGTTATTCTATAAGTTGTATGGTGGTGTGCACTACTTATGTGGACAGATATAAGTAGTATGTAGCAGGAATTGGGAGCAGAATGATTACCATAAGAAAAATGAAAAAAGATAAGAGGAAGGAAAAAGAAGAGTAACCGGAATAACAACATGATCGGAAGAGTGATGAAGTATGTAAAAAACAACTGAAGGAAGATATGCAAATGATTTTCATATTTTGCTAAGCTACTGTGTAATTTTGTATATAACAGCAAATTGTTTTTCTCCACTGCAAGTCTGAGTTCACTAAAGTATGTTTTGAACTAAATGAACTGGTTGGTCATTATCACTAATGACTACAGACTCAAAAGTATAACTCAAGAACTATGTAGACGTAAGTTTCTACCTGGTAAATGAATTATGTTAAATTAGGAAAATAAGTTTCGGTTTGTGCCAGAGAATAATGGATGCCATTTAATCTTTATTAGGGGATAGAAATGAATTGTGTCATTATACATGAACATGTGAATAGGTCATTAAGTTCCAGTGACGTAATATTATTTCTCAAAGTCATGAAATGGTAGTATATGTATAGAAGAATTCAACATACAATTCAGAGATAGTGAAAATTTGTAGCTCAGATGAATGATTTCAACAACGCTTGTCCATTCCCTAAAGCTAATCGATTTAATCATGAAGTCTTCGTTGTTCTAAAGGAGAACATTATTAGAAGGAATTTCAGGTAGAAGTGGCCGATTCGAATTTCTCCATACATGAACTGATAACCTGTTTATATTAATGATGTTATCCATAAGTTACAATAAAAGCTTCAAAATTAGACCAATCAACTTCAAAGTACTAGCACCACGAAAAAAGGAATTCAGTAAGACAGTTTAAACTAAGCATATCATCATCAGACAACAAACTTAATATCGGTGGCTAGATACTACGTCTTCTATTGCTTAACAGTCACCATCTGGGAATCTCAATCACTAACACTACTACTGTGGTGTATGCTACTTATGTTTGCCGATATAAGTAGTATGTAACGCCAATCAGAAGAGGGATGCATGGCAGCAGAAGAATATGAAGGTCAACTTGAAAAAAGCAGAAAGGTAAAAAGAAAGGAATTGAAACTTGGGAAAACCATACAGAATGTGAAGGACATACGACGGAATTTTACAAATGAAATATTCAATGTATAATTCTCATATCTTATCAAAAAAATTCTGTAATTTTCTATTTAAATATAATACTACTACTAATAATAATAATAACACACGATTCAAGAAAAATGGTACTAAAATACAACTTACTGATTTCATCAATAATAATCCCATCCTCTACAGAAATATGAATAAATAAATTTGTCCAACGGTCATAGACAGATAGTTTTCTAGAAGAAAAAAAATCAGGTTCTGAATCTACATAAATCATGGACTATTTACATGTGATGATATCCGAAGATCAACGAACATCTAATGAATTCATCACATTTATACGTTTAAAAAACAAGGTATTTACTAACTTGAGCACTTGTGCAACAGTATTTGGACCAAACCAACTTCCAATAGATTTACCAAGTGATACACCTGTGAGGGCTAACAGCAAAGCAAACAACAAGAAACAAATAGACATTGATATCACATATTTATTATGAAGAGCAGTTTATCTTATGTTTTCGGCAAATGTCTCTCAAGAATTAAAAAAACATGGTCTAAACGATAAGTAAGCATCATTAACAAAGGTTGACTTGATTGTTCCAAATAAATTAGGGACTGGGTAGAATAATAACAAAATAAGGATATATTTGTAATATCCTAACACAAGTTTAGAACTTTAATTTAATTTCAGTTATTTGTTTATTTACTCCGAAAAATCAACTTAAATTAAGTTGAGAAACGTCAAAGATCCTTATTTCTACTCATCAGTCTAAAGTGTAGTTTCTAGCATGTAAAAGCAACAAGATTTCCATTTGTGATAATACTCACTTGCTCAGACTGAAGTAGATGGAGTTCAAGTTGCAACGTATTATATGAAAGTCGAACACCTCAACTGCTAAGCAACTGTATGCTTTGTTTTACTCAGTGACAGTATTAACTTTCAGAAAAGCTATTTTTATTAAAAATGACTATAGTTTTGGATCGTAACAAAGTAGTAATTCAGTTTTAAACAGGATTTATAAGGTAAATGAATTGGTGGCTTATTAGTTGAATGGCTCGATATTCAATCAGTAGGCTGCTGGTTCAAATGTCGCTTAGCTTATTTTGGCTCGAACAATTATATAGTATTACAATCCCTGACGTGAATAGAGAAACAAAGAAGCTACGACGAACAAAGAACGGCATTTTTAGGAACACCATTTCACATAAATCAAAGTTTATGAAATACTAACGCTTAGTTTTGTTCCTAGTGATTCCATAAACCATAAGCTTCCTGCCATACCTTTTTTTGTTGCAAATCTATTGTAATTTAAACGTAATCTTCGGTATTCGATTTTACTTCCATAATGTCCAGTTTGGACATAATTGTATTTTCATAATCGTTTGAGCGTTGTGATCATGTTAGTCATCTATTTATTGACGTAACGTTTTGCACTAATTTGAATCTGAATTGGAGATAAATTGAGTAGTGTTCAAGTTAACTCGTCTTTCCTCTCGCTTGTCAACTAATCAGGTGACAGAATAGTTGTTATCTGTGCCCAAGGCCGTTAGTCACAATACGGACTCACTCATTTATAAACTCAAGGTTGAACCAGTTAGCTCTAGTGTCAAGGCCTTAACCTAAATCGGGACAAGTTCATTTCTGTATATTGTTGGGAAGACAGATCAAGGACGTAATAACCACTCACATGTAAAGTTTGGCTATCAACAGAACACGAGATTTCCGAATCGCATTCTTTTACTTGGTAATCCATTGTTATTTAATAAAACAAAATCAAAAGTTGGCAGTATGATCGTTGTATACTACAAGAGAGGGTAATCACGATTTCAAATACTTTAGGAATAAGGTTTCTAAAAGAGGCAGTGACTGGCACGGATTTTAAATTCTATGAAGGCATACATTTTGTGGAGGTCGAAGAAGCACTGTTTTATTGAGTCTCAACAAGACAAAAACGGTTGTTTTTAAAACAATCAGCAAGTAAACGTTTAACATTTCATTGATAAAAAACAGTTTCTCTAGTTCACTTTTGTGGTGGTTGCTTGAATCTTCCCATTGACGTTTAAGACTGCAATTGATCAGTCACTTATTGGCATATGTGAACACTGTGCGTATTCCCTCGATATTACCTTAATCCACAAGTATTATAAGCAAAGACAGATGCTGGCCAGCAGAGGAATCCAGGACACGCATTTCGTCCCATTCGGGATTTGTCAGTTGGATGAACCCGCATCCCAGATTTGATGTTCACTTCGGGACTCGAACCCAGTACCATTTGCTTCAAACGTCATTGCATTACCCATTTAGCTACTGAGTTTAGATAGCCACTAACTTGTGCAATTGTGTGAAGTCCAATTCATTTTGTTTAAGCGCTGAGTAAAGTCATTTTAATAGGATATATTTAGTTGCAAGATATATTTAGAATGACAGTTTGTAAAGTTTACCAGAAGTATACTAGCTATTCTTCACAGGGTTTGAGCCTATAATTGACAGATAGAGATTATCATCAAGTTGATTCATACCTAGAAGTCTACACTGAACTATGGAACTTTAAAGAATTTTTATTTATCTTGAAAGCGCAAATTAAAAGCACAATATATGTACTAGGCTGTAAATACTTAATTGTATACAAAGCTTAAACAGAAGTATACTTACAATCATTTTTGAGATAGCTGTTGATTAGTCTATAACAAGGATTAATTGGAAGTAACCAAAAAAAGTAGTTTCTTATCACCAAAAAGGTTTGTGTAACTAGTATGCATAAAACAGATATCGATATGTTTAGACTGGTAAACGTTAATGTTTAGTCATGGAAGGAATCCTATGAAATGAGAGATTTAGGAAATAATTTGAATATATTAATCATGTGTTTAGTACCGAATTTATAAACTTTATTTTGACAATCCCATACTTTATTAGATTGTACACCATAAAAAGTAGTACCTGAGGAGTGACCAATAATAATTACTTTTGTGGAATTATTAAGCAGTGAGGATCAAATAATCAGAGGTTCAAATCCACTTTAGTTACTTTAATGGTCGGTTTAGACTAGATAGCGTAGTTTTCAGAATACTAGATAAATCTAAATATGATTACCCAGTCATAATCAACGTAGAACCTGACACAATCCTGCGTTAGTTCACATTACCAAACCATATCAATACGACCAGATAAAAAACAAGTGGAATAGCAGAGTTGAAGTAACGTAGTGACGACAATGAGAAAGACTAATCATTGAGAATGAGGTTCTTAATATATAATAATTATAATAAGTTATGTATAAAGGAACAATATAACTCAGAATGTTAAGAAAAATGTAGATGCACCTTCCCTTTTGTAGCTGACTCTGAGTCATATCACTTAACGTCTCTAGTCACTGATTGCAGTTATCGCGTCGACTTCAACAAAGTAGTCTCCACCTACCAACAGACAATAAATTTATGGACTGTTGCTACATCTTGATTTGGGTTTCTCTGGTTCTTTTTCAAATGACTTCTACACCAACAAATAATACCCATCGACGCGCAGGGTAGTTGGAGATACGTAAAACATGTTCAAACCGTCTCAATCGATTTACCATACTTGCCTAACTCCAACACTATTCACTCAGTCATTTCATGATAAAAGACCGCTGCTTCGAAGACATCCATGCTTATATCTTCATGGACCATATTTTACAGCCGAAGAGTAGATTTATAGGTGGTATACTCCCGCTTAGGTTAGAAGACTGGCATTTCGCCTACGCCATAAATGATGTAATTTTGCGAGAACCAGGAGAACTTTATGAATCCGTGCAGAAAATTTGTCAAAAGATTCTTCCACCAAAGCTGGTGAAATTCCTAAGTTGATAAGTGAACCTCCTGATAGAACATCCATTACAAAATTGGGTATAAAGGAGGAAAGTGAGGAACTCCAACGAATACCACTTTATGTTAATGATTTGAATGGAAATTCACCATAAGCTATAACTCAACCGATGGTGTTTGTAAAGAGAGCCTATTTAAGGTTTATGTACTTAAGTAACGTGATTTATATGATTCAGTTGGTAAAGTTTTAGTTGTTTTACAAATACTGGCGACAAATACCTTAAACAAGTAAGTAGTACACCACGGTTTTATAAAACAAGGAAAAGTATTATATTTACTAATAGTTTGAATGGAATAAAGCGCAGACCGTCGATCTTGAAACATTTGTAGAAGACGATAATATTCCGGGCTTTCTTGTTGAGGACTCCATTTCCACGCTGAAAGATGGTGATAAAATAATTAGTGGGTTATTTTGTTAAAATAAAGGAATGGTATTATATACAAACTTTAGATGTGATAGTGAATATTGATTAGTAAAAGAAACCTTGATTTTACTCTTTACTTCTATTGCGTTCAATCAGTAAGAAAAATAATAATGTAAGTACCATGTTTTGACGCAGGTAGAGATGTATTTGACAACACAAAAACGACTGAACTCAGTAATAGTGGTATGATCAAAATCCACAAATGAGGTCACATCGTGTTAATCAAAAAGCGCTTAGCTGACAGATGTTATTGGCCATGAAATGGTTTCATCTTCTAAGGAGTAATATATATATATATATATATATCTTTACGATAAACATGGAGTTATCATGAGGAAAAGAATTGATAAGATACTAAATATTCACAAAAAAACGTAGATATTTATTCAACACATCTGTGTTATGGAATATTTTCGAAAAAAATTTATTATTTACTAAGAAATAAACATTATTACTGGAAAAGATACAAGTATGGCAAGACTATGATAACTCGACCGTTGTTATTACCTTGACGTGGTGGTCGGGCTTGCCTATCGTGATGAAGCAACCGAGCTATACTGGCTGGAATAACCGTTTTCCAAGGTCCTAAATTGCCAGACATGTCGGTTGAAGAGCGGTAAGACTAAAAGCAACAAACCCAAGGTCCGAAGGCGAAGCCATACTGCTGACTGTACAGAGGTGTGACAGCAGTAAGGTGTTCCCCTCAGACAACCAGCATGACCGCGATGCTGCCCTCCCACATGGAGAGGTGGGGTTAGAAAAGGTCGACCCCAAAAATGCACACCTCGCCTTATCCCACGTATACCCATCTCCGGCGGTAAGGTCTCAAAACGTAAGGAGTTAACACGAAAATTACTCATAAAAAGGTCGTGTGTGACCGACCTCAAGCAGTTATAATTTGGGCACCGCACTGCGTTCACGCTTTCAGGTCACTAAGACCACCTGTAACCCGATTTCCCTTTCAGGTACCTCCAGAAGAACCCTTCCACGGTGTGGGCAACCGGGAAGTGATAACCACCCTCATACCTCTAACGGCACTCAAGACGGACTAACTGAGACTATGATAAATAATTCACAAAATGATATACCATTATGTAGACAAAATCAATTTATTTTTTAGTCTATTAAATTAGGATTAAACATTAGTAGATTTGAATATATACAGAACGAGATTATTATCACTTAGATTTTAATAACCAACCTGGTGATAAAGTTTAACATTACAGTTTTAGAATTCTTGTATATTTGAAAGAAATGAAATCAATTCACTTCTATCTTTTGTATAAGGTTATTTGTTGGAATTTAATTAGTCGGCAACCTATAATTTAAATTTTATTACTAATGAAGTACGAAGAATCTATAGGCAACTTATTAAGTATTCAAATGACAATGATGTAATAAGCAGTAAATTTAAAAGCTCGACATATATATATATATATATATATATATATATATATATATATATATATATATATATATAAACAGACTTCGTCCGAGGTGAAATCTTAACATGGCTTCAGCAAGAATCATTTGTCCGCAGCGATGCATACAACCCCATCCAGCATCTGATTTAGGACCATTTCGACTGCCAATTGGGGAGAAACCCTTTCGGTAAGTCATCCATAGTCGAGACTTTAGGTGACGTGCAATTTCCTCCCTATCTGGAACAGCGAAAAGAAAAGTGTAAACAAAAACAAACAGTAATATAGTCACAGGGAAAAAGCAGTTCACGGTGAAAGATAAAACTGCGTAGTAAAAAATATATGAAGTTAACTAGCTTCGTACATGTTTTCCATAATAAGATTCCCAAGAATCAGCCCTATGAATCACATTTATATAAACATAAATATTCGTACAAATGGGAGCCAAAACAAATAAGCACCACACAAATATGTAATCGTGAAGGAAAAGAGGAAGGATAGTATAATCAAGTAAATAAACGAATAGAAATAAGTGAAGAAGAGCACATTATAGTGAGAGATAAATTCGTCTGAAAAAATACGACTAAGAAAAATTCTTCCGTTTAAAGAAGTTCCGCTCACTTTTATGAAGAATGTAAAGGAAAGCTACAACAAGACCGTCGATAGCTTCTATTCGGAGCCATTTCTGATAGCATCTCAAGCCATCATCTCTCGGACCCAAACAAGGTTCAACCAGTTAGTCAAACACATCCAGGGAGTCTTGAACTTACAGACACCAGTCTTATACCGCTTTTTTTCCATACCCCAGGAACCTGTCACGGACTAACCACTTCTTTCTTTTCCAACTAACCTCTGTCAACAATTAATGAATGGTGCGACAGCCACTGGAATAGTATCTGTAACACATGTCCGAGACATAGAAGTCAATGTTTCAAGGTGGTGAAACCAATTGAGTTGTCATCACTTTGAGCAAACACATTGCCGAAACTCACTATTACTAACATAATGTTGCCACTGAATGTCAGAAATGTTTTAGAGACAAGTGATTGAACACAGAGTTGCTTAATATCCTCAATTCGGAAAAGCCATGTTTCACAAGGATATAGGGAAACAACCATCACTGACGAATTATAAACCTGATCTTTTACGCCCACACTAACATTACGTTGGCTCAGATTGGCATAAGCCACTATGGCTGTTGTTATAGGCAGGTGGGTCTCATCACTCACGACACCACCAACACTCAGACAACTGACTACATACACAAACTTCTTAACTACTATCGGTTCATAACAAAGAGTGAGTGCAGGGACAAGCCCTCACTAGTTTTGTAAAAATACTTCGTAGTTACAAGATTTATTTATTTATTTGAACACATAAATATTGGTACAAGACAGCGCCAATATATATGCGCCACACAAAACAATGAGAATTTAAAGAGGAAAAAGAAAAAGGTAAGGAGCGTTAAAAAATAAAAGAACAATAACGAAGAGATTGGTGTAAGGTAGTGTAATAATAATAATAATAATAATAATAATAATAATAATAATAATAATGAGGGAACGGAAAGGTACAATCAGAAGAATTCTTTCAGTTAAGGAAGACACAACCACTTTTTATGAAGAAAGTAAAAGAAGGTTACAGCAGGATCGCTACTGGCTTCTATTCAAAGCCATATCTGATAACTTCCCTAGCCACTGTGTTGCACCATATCTCGGACCTCAGCCAGGGAGTCTTGAAGGACCCACAGAAGCCAGTCCTTTGCAGCTTTCTTTCATACCACGACACCATGTCATGCACTGACCACCTCTCCGCTTCTTCCAACCAGTCTCAGAGTCGGCAAATAATGTACGAAGTGGAATTCTCCGGGACGACATTCGTAGAACATGTCCAAGCCACCAAAGTCGGTGATTCAAGATGGTGAAACCAATTGCATTATCGTCTCTGTGCCCGAACACACGATACCGAACCTCTGCATTACTAACATGGTGTTGCCACTGGATGTCAGCAATCCTTCGGAAACACCGATGATCGAACACAGAGAGTCGTCTAACGTCCTCAACTCGGAGGCCAGGTTTCACAAGCATAGAGCAAAACTGCTCTCACCGACGCGTTGTAGATCCGACCTTTTACAGCCAAACATCACGAAGACGCCAAAGATGGCCCAGATTGGCATAAGCCGCTCTGGCTTTCACTATACGTGCATTGATCTCATCACTCACACCCCCACCAGCACTTATGCAGCCATCTAGATACACGGGCTTCTCGACTACTTCTATCTGCTCACCATCGAGGGTGAGTACAGGATTAAAATCCTGCCAGTCTTGTAGAAGTGTTTTGCACCTTTGAAATGCAAAGCACATACCATACCTACGGACACTGATTGCCAACTGGTTAAGTGCGGATTGCATGCCTTGAGCATTATCGCACAGTAAGACAATATCGTCTGCATACTCAAGGTCGAGAAGTGTTTCTCCAGGCAACAGATCCACACCGCCATCACTTACATCCATCACAGCTGTTTCCAGAATGTCGTCTATGGCAAAGTTGGAGAGGAATGCTGAGATTGGGCAACGCTGCCTAACCCCACTGCTCGAATGGAAAAATGGAGAGAGGTGATTGTATGCCCTCACTCTGCTTGAGGTGTTTGTATATAGGGCTTTAAGGATGTTAATAAACTTCTCAGACACACCCTTCTTCAATAGACAATCCCAGAGAACAGTCCTGTCCAACGAATTGAAGGCAGCCCTAATGTCAAGAAGCACTACGATTGTTGGCCTTTGATAAGTATGGCGGTGTTCTAACATTTGGAGGAGGGTGAAGATATGATCAATACATCTCGACCAGAACGAAACCCAGCCTGCTCCTCGCGAGTCAATCTTTCTCGGGTTTTGAACAACCTACGAAGTATGACGGAAGCCAATAGCTTGGACGCAATCGGAAGTAGACTTATCCCCCGATAGTTGATACAGGAACGACGTGAACCCATTTAAAAGATAGGGACAACTATCGACTCGTTCAATGTCGTTGGTACGCTCTTTAGTTCCCAGAACTTTGTGAACAACGTCGTCAGTTCCTTAGTCAGAAAGTTACCACCATCTTTAAAAAGAGCCGGAGGTAAGTCATCTGGGCCAGGTGATTTGTAGCGAATTCAAATCTCCGGCTGGTACTACAATATCTGTCGAACGCACTTTCTGGAGAGGAACAGTTAACTGGTGGTAGTATTCATCCCACTCTCGGCCATACCAGGGCATTTGGGGGCTATTAGAAAGTTCCATCAAAGTAAGAAGAGATCGGCATGAGAAACGATGTCTTTTCGTCATCTCCGCCTATGCCCCGACAGATTGCAGCCCGGATGCAATCAACGATGAGTTTTACCACCAGTTATCTGTTCTTCTCCAGAAAGTGCGTTCGACAGATATTGTAGTACTAGCCGGAGACTTGAATGCTCAAGTCGGGCGTCTAGGCACAGAAGAGAGTCGTTTAGGTGGCCGATGGGGACTTGTTGGTCGCAGGCAGATAACAAGGACCGTCTACTGCAACTGTTCACAGACCACAACCTGTTTCTGGCTAGCACTAACTTTCGGCACAGTCATCGCTGATGTGCCACCTGGCGTCCTCCCTCTGCATCCCAAGCCCGGACTCAGATTGATTACATCGCAATCAGCTACCGCTGGCGTGGTTGTGTACAAGACTGCCGCTCCTTTTGGAGTACCTATCTGGACTCTGACCATGCTTTGGTCTGTGCCAATCTTACCTTACTTTTCAGTGGCCAACGAAGTGACTGCCATCAACGGATTGATATTAGCAAGCTGGTCGCAACTTCTGTTGCAAATAAGTATCGAACCGAGCTAGTTTCTAGGCTAGCTACCATTCCACCGAAAACTATAGATGAGCATTGGTTGCAATTGCATGATGCCATGAAAATGGCGGGTACAGTCAGTTGTGGGTTCGCGAAACGTCTCGCTTATAAGCACTGGGATTCTTTAGGTTCCTTACAACTTATTGAAGCCCGTCGGTCTACTCCGGGTGACTGTGAGTTTGACCACAAACGAAGGATGTTACGTAATGAAATTGGGCAAAGCTTGCGTAAGGACCGAGAAGCCTGGTGGTCGGAGCATGCTCATCAGCTGGAAGCAGCTGCATCTGGTAATTACCGGAAGCTCTTCCAACTCATCCGAGCCACTGGCAGCAATAAGTCTGGTGTGAGCGAAACAATCTGCGAGGACGACGGAAGGCCAATCACTAACATTCATCGACGTCTTGGACGAGGGGCAGTTTGACTGGTCTGATGCTCCGGCAACATCGGTCAGACTGTCCTGCCCTCCATGGCCGGTGACTAGTGGTCCACCGAAGGAGGTGGAAGTCCGCAAGGAACCCCAACTCTTGAGGCGCTACAAATCACCGAGCCCAGGTGACTTACCTCCGGCTCTTTTTAAAGATGGTGGTGACTTTGTGGTTAAGGGACTGAGCTGTTTACAATTGTTTGGTAGTTCCAACATCGTGGAATGAGTTGATAGTTGTACCTATCTTTAAAAAGGGTTATGTCAAAAGCTCCCTAAGAAACCGCCTTCGGTCTGGGCACTCGGGAAGTATCACAGCCCACACACAAATAAAATGAAATGACAATAATTAGTGGAAATACTGTTTTCGCGCCCCCCAAAAGCACTTGTACGGCCGGAAAGAGGGATTCTGCTCTCTGCTCGAAATGCTTTCATATGGCTACACGTTTCTAGTCACTACCGCTGAAGTCTTAGTTATTGCTTTTTCGTGATGCGGGTGATATTTGCAGAAGAGAGAATGAAAACTGAACGTCCATAGCTTTAACTGAGTTGGTGGATACAAAGAGTCTGTCTAGGAGAACTAGAAAATTCTGGTTCCGAAACAATGGTGCATATCAACTCCAGGATCCTGAGGGATGAAAGACCATACGAACTTGTCTTTGGCCACTGGTTAACCAGGGGATTGTATATCCTGACATTCCCACACTATCTTGTGGATAAGACCTCTGGGTCAACGACTCGAGGAGTGCCTCCCTTAGAGAATCATCTGCTTCGGTCTGGGCACCCGGGCAGTATTACAATCCTTTCAAAAATATAGCAACGAGTGATTATAAGGGAACTGATCCATTTGCTCCGCTTAAATACTAACTTGAAGACAATTTTTTATCGAAATGTTTTTATTTTACGTTACAGCGCATTTCTATTTCAAGTTTGAATTTATTTTTCGGATCACTCAGCAGTCTATTTATAGTGAAAGTTCTGTCTTGTATAAACGAAATCACCGACTGGTCGAAATCTTGGATCTTACCGCTGAGTATGGAATCTGAATAAATTTTTCTGAAGTCTAACAACCAGGTCCTCATTGACTGAAAAGTGAGTGATCTACAAAGTAATTGTCCTCCATTCAACCATAACATTTTAGAACTCATTTCGTGCTAATATTTCGTATGTGAGTATGTCAACTTATTATATGAAAAACTTATTCTTCTGGCTAATGGTCTTTGATTTCTAATCGTTCGGAGGCTTAAGTCCACAACAAAGTCTCTTGAGCAGTCATATTAATTTAAAACAACTATGGGAATAAACTAGCATAGATAAGAAAGTATTATTTACCAAATAACCTGGCACAATAACCCATTAGTCCAATTCCCAAAACAGAAAATTTATTTGAAACTATGGGAAGATAAGCATTTAGTGCCTCGACTTATAGTTTCAGAACAGACTGAAAAACAAAAAAGAACACGTTCAACAAATCTCGGGATCTCTGAATACTTAGAACACTTGATTGTGGTGTTGCGAATGATTTACTATATCCAGTTATTACTCAAGTTTTAAATTTTGAAAGGCTAAATATTAGTGAGACTTTAATTTATGGACGACTTTTGAGCGATAATAAACCACACTTTCGAGTGAAATTCGGTGACAGCATCCGAAGGAATAAATAATCATTTAAGGTATTCTTTGAAACTTGATGGCCACAGTTTTGCAACCAAACCAAGAGTTTATAGCTGTATTGTCTAAGGTCTTCGACCAAAGAATGGGACTATTTTGTAAACAGTAACGTTTACTAATAAATCGCTCTTACCTTTGAAAATTTATAGGATGAAGACTAACTTATTGATAATTAAAAATAATTACACGCAGAAGACATATAACTCACATAGAAGCAAAATCATAGAGAAATATTTGTGAAGTACATCATAGCAACTCCAAAACGAGCCTTCTGATTAGAATTAGAGACTGGATGGCAATGTTAGGGATCAGGCTCACATTGAAGCTACTTCGGAATACCTTCAAAGTATTTGACTATGAATCTCCATTTATTTGAGTCCCTTATTTTTTTGTGTGCCTTAAATATAATCTAGGTCTTTGGGTACAGCCCAATGTTTTTAAACTCGACAGTGAAGTGTAACCAAAAGCCAGAACAAAGATTTCAAACACAAATGATGAAGGATATTTAATACATTCACACTTACCATCTAAAGAGTCATACTTACAGCCCAATATATAAACAGATTTAGAAACACTAGGAAGATAAGGATGGTCAGGAATTGATCCTGAATGGTTGAAAACTGCTATAGAAACTTCCTTAAATTAATATTTAACAAACCCTCCCACTGGGAATCCATGATACTTTAATAAACCAAGTTGGACATATTCACATCCCTGTTTCAGTAGCGAAGTAGTAATCATAACCGCCACACATTTGGAAGTATTCAGTGTGTCCATTGATTGTCATCGGCGAGGAATGCTGTTAACCATTTGGCCTTTGTTATAACGTGCAGCAATCATTTACATGAAGGACCAGTTTCTTTACAAAAGTTTTCAACAATGATGTTCAGCCTTCAGTCAATCTTCAGTGATAAGGATAGTAGGTTGATGGACATGTGTTAACACTTATAGATTATTTCTCAGTGAAAGCCAAGCTCCTTACTAAAAATGTTCACCGATGGGGCTAATACTATTTATTAATTTATGGCTTTCCAGTTATGACCACTCGGTATGAAAGACGGAACTTCACCTTCAGTTTATTAGATCGCGGTTTTTGAACCCTCTTGTTATGGCCTCAATGTTTATTAGTGATGAATAGAGCAAAAACAAAGAACCAATTGAACACCCAAATTGTAATTAAGAATACGGGATGACAATATATGGTCACCCCGCATTCTGAGATACGATAAGGGGCGAAGGTTTAGGCGTTTTATGCGCTTGTGGAGATAGGCATGACAAACTTATTTTGTAAATAGTTTTTGATTTTATCTGTATTCATTCCGTTAAAGTTTACAGTTTGTATATTTACTACAAGATGATTGTACATGTTGTTTGAGTGCATGACCTTGAACTCGCTTTCTTCCGTTGTTACACGCATAGCATGACACATGCTGTTAACTGCCAGCAAATACACTATTATACACACATATATCTAGTTCTCTATTGCTTGTGGTTGTAATATCTGAACTATTAATCATCTACTGTCTACATTTATAGACTGCAGCTACATTTACATTATATTCTACGTTTAGCTAAACTACTGGAAGCAAAACAATGTTATTGGAATTATTAATCTGTAACAGCTTAGGTTGGTTGGTTAAGAGTTGACCCCAAACAACCAAGCAAATGCCGAAACAGTATTGTTCAAGTATTCATTCACTTCCTTATTTTTCATAAGCGTTATATTCCCTATTATCTTGAATGTTGAGAGCCTTTGTTTGTCTGAACAGATAATCCCACGCTCCACTGTGACTGCGCTAAGATCGAAATAAAGACCTATTCACTACTTGTCTGGTTTCTTCTATCAATGGCACGAGGGTTACTTTAAGGCACGAAATTGGTGAGCCCTTTTTGAGCACAAATTTAACCTCATTTCTGTTATTAACATTTTTTTACTTAATCGTAAAAGTAGACCTGATTATCCGTAAACTAATTTGAGTATATAACTAGTTTATTCCGTATTATCTTAAGTTATTCGTGTTATAGTAACCACTTTTTGTGCTAACTTTATTGCTATATTTGTCACATACCTCATGTCAGACTCAATAGAAACCCATAATCTGGAGGATTTGTCACCAGTGGAGATAGACACTGTTATGACTACGAAATCCCGACTTCCAGAATTTGATCGTAGTGATCCTGAGTTGTGGTTTGCTCAACTAGAGCATTATTTCACGAGACACAATATCAAATCTGAGGGGATTCGCTATAGAGACCTGTGTTCTATTCTACCTCCTTCAGTCGCCAAAGAAGTCCGTGACTTGATTTTAAGTCCACCATCACCACAACCATACACCATCTTAAGACGAGAGATAATGAACCGTTTATCATTATCAGATAGTCATAGAATCCAAAGACGTTTTCAAGGTGAAACACTAGGTGATCGGTCGCCGTCACAGTTTTTACGTCACCTCCAAGTCTTAGTGGGTGATAACACAGTGGGTGAAGCAGTCCTAAAACAAGGATGGATACAAGCTCTCCCATGCTACGTCCGAAACTGTTTGGATGCACAAGATCCTGAAACCTCATTATCTCATTTACCGCGTATAGCCGACAGAATAATGGAAAGAGGTCCTCCAACTGGATCAGGCACAATAAATCACACACAAAAAGTAGAATCAGCAAAAGACCCCGTAATAGAAAGACTCATTGCGAGTGTTAAGAGTCTCACTGAGGCTGTCACCAGAATGCAAATGGGTCATAGAAACAGGAGCAGGTCACCACAACAACCACGATCCAAGTCACAAAACAGGTCACAAATGTCCAGACAATCTGGGCAGTTTTGTTGGTACCACTGAAAGTTTGGTGTCAACTCAACCAAGTGCATGCAACCATGCGCCTGGCCTAAGCATAATTCTAAGACAGCGGGAAACGAGTAACCCCTCCCAGGTCGCGACGACTGAGGAGGGGCGCCTAAACAGTCGCTTGTTTTATGTTAGAGACAGAAACTCTGGCTTAAATTTCTTGGTAGATACTGGTGCTGCTCTTAGCATCATTCCTCAAAATAAAACTGAGATTAGTCGAGAAACATCATCAATTACACTTCAAGGTGCAAATAAAACTAAAATTGCGACATTTGGGCAGAAAACTTTAACCCTAGATTTGGGGTTCAGGAGGCAATTCCCTTGGGTTTTCACGGTAGCCGACTTAGATTTGGCAATACTGGGGATGGATTTTCTAGAGAGATACGAATTTCTAGTTGACACCAAGAAACGGCGATTAACACTAAAAGAAACTTCGTATTACACAAAAGGCAAAGAAATTCACATCAGCTCTCTTAACTTGATTCAAACTCCCCCAGTAACTACAACGAAATTCCAAGATATACTCGCGGAATTTCCAAACTGAACTAAACCAAACCCACAGCCTTCTAAGGACAAACTAAAAGTGAGTCACACTATCAAAACCGAAGGTGCACCGGTGTTTGCAAAACCCAGGAGACTAGCACCAGATAAGCTCAAAATCGCTAGGGCTGAGTTTGATTATATGCTACAACTGGGTATTATCCGTCCCTCTGATAGTCGATGGGCATCCCCTTTGCATATGGTCCCAAAGAAGAATGAAAGTGACTGGCGACCGTGCGGGGATTACAGAGCCCTAAACCGTCAAACCGTACCAGATAGGTACCCAATACCTCATATCCAAGATTTCACCAACGGTTTTGTTGGGTCGGCTTCCGGAGAACTTCAACGGAGCCCCCAGAGGCCCAAAAGGAGCCGAAGAGCCCTAGCCAATCAGAGTGTGATGGAACGTTCTAGAATTCCAACGTGGCGTGTTACTATTGGTCGGTAGCATAATGTGTTGCTATCGGATTGGCTGTAAAATGATGTTGATTTAACAGACGCCAAAATCTACAAATACCCATGATTTTCTGTACAAAAATGAACCTTGGAATAAAGTGCTTTCTCTCATTCTTGTGTCTTCTCTCTGGAGTTCAAGTCGCTGTGTAGTTTTAGACTGCGGGTTACCGAAATAGCTTAGGAATCGTATATAGCGTTCAACCTACACGACTCATCAGGTTTACAGGGTATGAACATATTCACTAAAATTGACTTAGTCAAGGCATATCACAATATCCCCGTGGCTGATGAAGATATTCCCAAGACAGCTATTACTACACCCTTTGGCTTATTCGAGTTTGTACGCATGCCATTCGGCCTGAGAAATGCGGCACAGACATTTCAAAGATTCATAGATAACCTACTTCGAGATATGCCATTTGCGCAGAGGTATATAGACGACTTGTTAATTGCCAGCCCCGATTTGCAATCACACGAACAGCATGTACAAGCAGTGTTGAAAAGACTGGATGAACATGGAATAAACATACATCAAAGTAAGTGTGTTTTCGGTGTTCAAACTTTAGAATTTCTCGGTCACACAATAAGCCCAGAAGGGATTAAACCTATCAAAAAAGAAGTGGATACCATCAAACAATACTCCGTACCTAGTTCTCTAACACAACTGAGAAGTTTTCTAGGCCTAATTAACTTTTATCGCAGATTCATACCAGGTTGTGCACAATTAATGCAACCTTTGACAGATTCACTTAAAGGAAAATCAGAAGAATTCAAACTGTCTTCTGACGCCATCGAAGCTATTAAACAGCTTAAAGATAAACTGGCTCAAGCAACTACGTTGATGTATCCGAATTCTCTTTCCCCACTTGCTTTGATGGTGGATGCTTCAGATAAAGCAGTAGGCGGTACCCTTAACCAACTGGTTAAAAACGCCTGGAAACCAATTGCTTTCTTCTCGAAAAGACTCGCTCCAGCCGAAACAAGGTATTCTACCTTCGGGCGAGAACTTCTTGCAATCTACCTGACCATTAAACACTTCCGACAAATGTTAGAAGGTAGGGAATTTATAGTCTTTACGGATCACAAACCACTGACGAATGCATTAAAAGCGAGAGCCGATAAATACTCACCTCGAGAAGTCCGACACCTTGACTATATATCACAGTTCACAAGCGATATTCGACATGTCAAAGGTCAGGACAATCAGGCGGCAGATGCTTTATCCAGACTAGAAGTGAACGTGCTACAGCAGTCTACAGTAAACTTCGAGACGTTAAGACACGAACAAGAGCAGGACCTAGAATTACAAAACCTACTTAAAACAAACAATTCAAGTCTTAATTTAAAACAATTCCCATCACCTATCAATGGTATTCTAATTTATTGTGACACGACCAAGGCAATGCCGCGACCTTTCGTTCCCAAAAATATGCGAAAGTTGATATATAATAACTTTCATTCTTTGTCTCATCCTGGCGCGAAAGCTTCAACAAAACTAATCAATGCCAGATATATATGGCCGAATTTACAGAAGGATGTACACAAATGGGTTAGAGAGTGTTCAGCATGTCAACAATCAAAGATTAATCGTCACACAAATTCACCCATAGGTGTTTTCTCGCAACCAGATGCACGTTTTGCCCATGTGCATATCGACTTGGTAGGTCCTTTACCACGTCCAAACGGTTTTAATTATCTTTTTACATGCATATATCGATTTACCAGATTCCCTATATCCATCCCGATAGCGGACATCACAGCGGAAACAGTAGCCAAAGTTTTCATGCAGAACTGGGTAACCATTTTTGGTACACCCATAACAATAACGACGGATAGAGGAGCGCAATTCGAATCCGAACTATTTAATAACTTGGCTAAACTTCTAGGCTCCAATAGGATACGCTGCACTGCATATCATCCTCA